GAAGAACAGAAAGGGGCAGAACTACCTGTAGAGTTTGCTTGAGTAGATTGTTTACCATTGAAAAAGGCTTTGATTTGAGCAAGTTCTTGAGAGGTGAATTGAGGAGTAGGATCGATGGAGGACTTGTGTGAATCTGAAATGATGGTTGCACTGGCTTGGTGAGCAGTAGTTTTTCTGCTACGATTGGGTGGCTGAACTTCTTTGCCATGTAGTTTGTGACCAACTGGGAACCCATTGAGAAAATAACATCGATCCACAGTGTGAGTAGTGCCTTCACAATAAGAGCAATGAAGAGGTTTTCGATTGCCTTGAGGCTTGGAATGAGTGGAGGACCATTGTTGTCGTTGTCTTGAGGGCATAGTTTGTGACTCCTTGGAGTTGTCATAAGTGTGAATACTCATGGCATGAATAAGATCACTGCTCTTTGTTTCAGTGAGGCCTCGCTGCTTTTCTTCTTCACATAAAAGTGAATATGCCTTTTTGACAGTTGGTAAAGGATGCATGAGCATAATCTGTCCTCGTACAGCAGAATATGTCTCATTGAGTCCCATAAGAAATTGACCAAGGCGAATTCTTTCTTCTTTTTCTTTTAGATCTTTTTTACCTCCACACGTGCAGGTGATTGAGGGGCTACAGGTGGTTAGCTCATCCCACAGCATTTTCATCTTTGTATAGTAAGAAAAAATGGATTCTTGATTTTGTTTCAGTTCAACAATGGATCGTTGAGTTTGATAATGATGAGAAAAATCACCTTGAGAGAATCGGTCTTGAAGATCTGTCCAAATTTCTGAGGGAGTTTCAGCATAGAGAACACTGTGTATAAGATCTTGACTTAGAGAATTGAATATCCAAGAGAGTACCATAGCATTGCAACGCTGCCATAAAGAGTATGTGGGATCCTTTTTCTCTGGAGTGGTAATGGTTCCTTCGATGAATCCCAATTTGTTTTTGGCACTAAGGCTGATCAGCATTGATCGTTTCCACATGGCATAATTGGTTCCATCTAAGACCTTTGGAACAAGGATCAGTCCAGGATGATCAGAAGGGTGAAGAAACAGAGGATCTGCTGGATCAATCGCTGGTGTAGACATATTTAGTTAGAGTATGCGGAATTTTACAGAAGCAATAGGATCATTGCTCTGATACCATGACAAAATAGGAATTAAGAAAGCTCTTTATTTCTCCTTTTATTTTCTATGTTAAAAGACTACAATATATACACATATACAGATCAAGTCATGATCTGATCAGCAAGGAAAGAAAATAAAATCTCAACTAATTCCCTTGAATGAAGGGATTACAAATTCCTAAATATGTGCAGTAAAGATTATTTCCAAAACTAGTGTTAATCAAATCTCAGCAAATCTCAACAAAAATATTATATGAATTTAATTTATTGACTTAATATATTTATTGAATTGACAATAAATTTTAATTAATATCGAAATTTATTGTCAATTCAACGATGAATTCATTGAGTTAATAAATTTAGTGCAAAAAATATTGTTCATAATTATACTGAATTATACAAATAAAATATTATTTAAAAAAGTCCAGGAGGTTAAATACCAAATCCATACTGCCGTCTGAGAGAAGGCTGGGGATGGGAAGCGTAGGTTGGTGGGGCCACTCAAACGGTCACGACAGTGTGTTGGCAGCTATGAGCAGTGGGGGACCAGGGACATTTGCGCGTGAAATTCATTCCCCTGTGGACTTTTTAGCCGTCGGCAACTCGGTGACAGTCACAGCTGAAAAGTGGTCGATGCTGGGTTTTACAGGACAAGAAGATAGATATCCCAGGCCCAGAGACCGGGTCAGACGCGCGTGCTTACTGGTGGTCCCATGAAACGATATTTTGACGCGTGTTCAATAGTACGGATTTTTGAAGAGCCAACTTTCTTCCGTGACTGGTGGTGAACAGAAGAGGTTATGATCCAATGGTTCGCGCGAGGTGTCCAACACATTTGTGAGGGTGAGATCCCATTTCATATATTTTTCAATTAAGAATGCGTATTTAAGTAGGATTTATTGTACACAAATAAATTATTTGTCAGCAAAAAAAATTAAAAAATTATCAAAAAATATCTGAATTTGAATCCAATAATTTTTTTTTGACTTCGTAAATCTTTCCAATATTTCTAACAAAGTTTCATGAATAATAGTTTATTAAAGTGTAATTAGGGTTAATAATTGAGTTGAACTACTTGAATTTGACTCAAATAAGACTCAATGAATTGAGTTCGAATAATTTTGTAGACTCTTTTAAAACCGAGTTTAAAAACTTGACTCTTTTATATGTAAAATAATCAAATTACTTGGTAGGAGGTGACTCATGCCAATTTAAGACTTAAACAAAAACATTAAATAAAAATATTTTTTATTTTTAGTATTATTTTTTTAAAAAAATTATTTTATTTATAATTTTTTATGTGAGGGAAAAACAAAAGAAAAATATGTTCATATTGTTGAAAAAGAGATTTCAATTTTATTTTTGTTTTTTGTCACACAGAGGGAGAGATAGCGTTTAATTTTAAATTTTGTTTTTTTTTTTATTTTTTTTTACTTGAGAGAGAGAGAAAAAAAATGGGGTGGGAGTAAATACGAGTTGAGTTTTGAGTATTTTTAATTTTTTTAATTTCTAAGTTTTAAATGTTAGGAATTAGATTATATGATCAAATTATTCTAATAAAAATTTTGATTCGATTTAATTTTTTGAGCCTTTTAGTAGGACTTAAAATTTAATGAATTTAATTTTTTTGGTGGGCAAATGATGTACCTAAAATTATAGGGCATTTTAAAAATTTGAGGCTTAAAATCCATACTTTTTTTTTCCGTACTGTTAAGCCGGCCCTGTTACTCAGATTCAGCTCATATTCACTTAATTTTGTACTTAGTTAGCGTACAACTCATTTTTTAAACGTGAGCTTAAATAATTTTTTAAATTTATTTAAAAAAAATGAGCTTTCAAAGGGTTTAGATGTTCTAAGTAAAAGGAACATTGATTTTGAAGTCAAGTAAATTTTAGGATTGATTTAATGACCAAGTCTATCTTTAAATAAAGGGTTAATCTCATTTTGCACCCTGAAAAGATTGTTTGAATCTCAATTTACACTCTCAAAGATCAAAAATCTCAATTTACACCCTCAAATATAAAAATTTGAATCAATGTGCACCCCTAAAGATCAAAAATCTCAATTTGCACCCTCAAAGATAGAAATTTGTATCAATGTGCATCCTCAAAGATAAAAAATCTCAATTTGCACCTTCAAAGATAGAAATTTGTATCAATGTGCACCTAAAATTAAATTAATAAATTATACTTTGATCCCCTCATGTTTGTCACTTAATCATTTGAACTCCTTCACATTTAGAATATTCCCCTTACATCTCATGACGTTTATGCATGTATAACACATAATCACTTTTCGTTAATATATATTAATATAATCATTAAAAAATATGATTTTATCATAATATAAAATTATAATTTTATATTACCTTTTATTTTGTGGATTCGATATACTCTAAAGTTGAAAATCAAGCTTACCATTTGAATGTCTAATAAAATGTAGATATTTATATAAAAGGTAATATGAAAAATATTATATAAATATTTATATTTTATTAGACATTCAAATGGTAAACTAGATTTTGAACTTTATAGTATATTGAACCTATAAAATAAAGGGTAATATGAAATTATAATTTTTTATTAGGATAAAATTATATTTTTTAACGGTTATATTAATAAATATCAATGAAAATGGGTTACGTGTTATATGTGCACAAATGTCATAAGATGTAGGAGTAATATTCTAAATGTGAAGAGGTCTAAATGATTAACTGACAAATATGAGGGGATTTAGGTATAATTTATCAATTTAATTTTAGGTGCACATTGATACAAATTTCTATCTTTGAGGGTGCAAATTGAGATTTTTTATCTTTGGGGTACACATTGATACAGATTTCTATATTTGAGGGTGCAAATTGAGATTTTTGATCTTTGGGGGTGCACATTGATACAAATTTCTATCTTTGAGTGTGTAAATTGAGATTTTTGATCTTTGAGGTGTAAATTGAGATTCGAACAATCTTTCGGGGTGAAAATTGAGATTCGAACAATCTTTCGGGGTGTAAAATAAGATTAACTCTTAAATAAATAAGAAATCTTATATTCGAAACATTTCACACTCTGAATATGATTTGTATTAGTGAGTTTGTTTAATTGTATTGTTTTTATAATTAGTAAAATTATAAGTAAATTAGATAAATATATTCATGATAAAAATTATTTTATCATATTGTGTAAAAATTGTTTTTTTTTTTTTTTTTTTGTAATATAAAACTATCCTGCCAAAAATTATGACGATGGTTGGCACGAGTTAATGGAGTGCTTTGACAAAGAGATCAGCAAATAATATCATGCCGACCAGCTATTTACCAATCACACGATGACGAATCCATTAATTAATCAATACTAATACAAGTCGGCGTAGTCTCTCACCACCCTCAATCAATTATCAGTTTTTTTCTTATTCTCACCCCCAAACACATCGAAAACAATTCATTTTTCCACGTGGCACCCAATCTAACCCCTCCGATCCCCTCGTAGAACTTTCCCAAGTAATAGTGTTGGGATCTAGTATAATTTATTTACATAGCTAAATTTTAAAATTTAATGAAATTTGATTATCAATTCAATTACTGTAATAAATGAATAAAATTATATCCCGAAAGATATGTTAAAATTTTATGTATAGAATGTTTGGTGGAAGTTATGGAATGCGACACAAATCCAACTTATTTTTTGTTTCACTCTCTTTGCATTTACCTTCCGCACCCTCCATTAGTTACTATTACCAGATCATCTAAGTAGTACGTTTTGCTTTGGGACTTGTACCTTTGATCTGGTATCACTAAACTTCGGTCTGGAAATATCAACACACAGTCTGCCATATAACTAACTGTTTCAAACAGTTAACATTTAATGTTGAGTAGCAATGTTGTCTCTATCTACGTTTACCATACAATGATCCTATTGGAATACCTCTCTCTCTCTCTCTCGATCCCTCTCTATGTAGAATGAAGCTTGAGCTTTAAAATTGCAGTGTACATGGCGTTTCAAGACCATCTCTCTGAAGGAATGGCACTCCACCACCAACGGTGCACAGGCCAGCACCTAGCCGAAAACGGCAGCGTTTTAAGAGGTATCTTACCAGAGTCAACGTCCGATGGCGCCTCCCGAAAGCCACCGCCAACATGGCTACTACGCCGACAAAACCACCACTTCGCCGCCGGTGATAATAATTTCCTCCACCTCCAGACCATCAACTCGGACTCGTCTAATTCGAACCAGTGGCTCTTCAAACAAAACGACGACGTCTCGACCATGAACCAAGAGAAGAAGATGAATAGCGAGAGTACCGAAAATAACGGCGAAGAGAGTAGTGGTGATTGGGAGCGTACGGTGAAGTGTAAAGCGGAGATTGTGAATCATCCTCTGTATGATCAGTTGTTATCGGTGCATGTGCAGTGCCTGAGAATCGCCACGCCGGTGGACCAGTTGCCGATGATCGATGCGCAGCTGGCTCAGTCGCAGCATTCGGTGGCGAAATATTCCATGCTCGGTGGACATGGAATCCAGGATATTGAACATAAAGATCTCGATCATTTCATGGTAATATAAGCGGCCTCTTTAGTCAGTTGTTATTTTCATCCATCCATGATTCCATATATGTATGTATGTGGGTGGGTGCATAACTACTTTTTGATTTGGTTCGTTTTGATTGTTTGTCGGTGTATGGGAAGCTTTCATGTCTATATGCGTGTGTGTGAGTATCTATGGGGGTGGTGTGATTGTTCATTGTAATGTATTATTGCAGGGTTCGACTGAAATTTTTTGGGGTTTGATAGATGAAAGGTCCCATTTTTTAGGGATTTGCTGTTTCTAATGTTAGAGAGAGAGGGAGAAGGAGGGGGGGGGGGTTAGGTTTGAATGTGTATTTTTTTTTCTTAAGTTTGGAAGATCGAAAGTTAATGCATTCATTTTGGTAGTCGCTTGGTGCTTGTTACAATTCAATTTCCCTTTTATTTACCGATTTCTCAGAGTTCTGTTCTTATATTTAGCCATGCAGCGTCTGTTCAGCTGTGTAAGCAATGGAGAATTTCTGAGAAGGTTCTAGCCTAGACTCTCTCTCTCTCTCTGTTTTGTGCTTTGGGAGATATTTGAACTATTGGGTACAAACTTTTTTGTTAGTGGAATTTGATTTTCTGAAATAGATGGGTCTGTCCGGTTGTCTGTCACTTCGAAAGAGGAATCATGTTGTTCTCAGTACACGAATAATTGAATTTTTGGAAGTGGTCTGGAGCGAGGAATCTTTGATCATGTGATATTTCTCCACTTGTTCAATGGATTCGTCTCTGTTTGTTGTATTCTAGAAGATTGGGATTCATCTGTAACACCGAGACACCCGAAGGCTCGATCATATGTGATGGGTCAAGTCCAAATAACATAATTTATGTGAGAAATTCAATCTCGATTGAGGAGCCCAATCTCATGAAAGATCCACTAAGCCTAATATAGCCCAAGACCCGTCAAACTCTCTGCTTGACTACGTCGTCAAGAGGGAGAGCATGAGAGCCCTACCTACAACGCAGAGGAAAAAGTCTACCTTCACCTCATCTTTGACCGCATCTCAAGGATAGCTCCTCAACCTCCTTACCAGTTGAGAAGAAGTCGTGAGCACCACCAGAGTAGTCGCTTAGATGCTGTAAAGTAGCTCCAATCTGTTAGGGGACCACTATAAATTATACATCCCACCAACACTTGGGGGACATCGTACTTTACTTGACCACGACTCTCTCTCTCCCTCAAAACTTGTACTCTCTACTCCCCACACCCTTGAGCTAATAAAAGCACCCGGCGATCAAAGTCATTCAAGAGTGGACGTAAGTCACATTGACCGAACTATTATAAATCTTGTCTCCTCCAATTCTCTCTTTACTTTTACTGCATTTATTATTTACACTTAACAGGTGGTGTGCAAAGCCATTTTGTGCTTCATCAGTTTGGCGCTGTCTATGAAAAACGACAAAATTCTCACTCCTAAACATTCCATTTGCTGAACTAATGACGATCACTACTAGATCCATGAAGACAATCCTCCACGAGAGGAGGAGGTTACTCCTCCACCTACCAACTCTATCCCAAATGCTCCAGCTCTAAATCTACAACAAATGCTGGACAAGGATGAGCACAACTTGGAGGTGCACAGCGTGGAGGACCCCAAGGAGCTGCACGCCTTGGACCTCAAGGAGTTCCACGCCTTGGACATCAAGGAGCTTTATGCCCTGGACATCAAGGAGCTCCATTCCCTGGACATCAAGGAGTTGCACGTCCTAGACATCAAGGAGCTCCACGCCTGGACATCGAAGAGCTCCACGCCCTCGACATCATGGAGCTCCACAACTTGCTGCTCCCCATTTGGGCACCTATGCAGGTCTGGGCACCCCCTTTGGAGTCCCCTTGGGTGCCCCACACAGAGGAGCCCCTCATGAGGGACCTCTACCTCTTTCTCCTGCTTTCCATGGTGAAGACGCTCATCACCAAAAAGATGGGGGCAAAAACCAAAGCATGGAGCATGAGAGTCATTTTCATGAACATTACAGAGGAGCCCCTAATCACTGGGACGAAAAAATTAAGGAAGTGCAAAATCAACTAGGTGACGTCTTCAACGCCATGAAGGCGCAGGGACCCGAGGCCGTGGACTAGCTCGTAAGGCAGACAGACACGCCTTTCAAACCTGACGTGGCGAACTACCCCTTCCTCAAAAGTTCAAAATGTCATCTGTGGAGACCTTTGATGGAACGAAGGATCCACTTGATCATCTCGAAACTTACAAGTCCTTAATGCAACTGCACAACGTCTCTGACAAAATTATGTGTAGGACATTCCCAATTACCTTGAAGGGATCAACGCGATAATGGTTTGCCAAACTCACCTCGGTCTCCATAGGCTCCTTCACTTAATTGAGTAGATCATTTGTGGCACAGTTCATTGGTGGATGCCGCCAACAAAAGCCTGCCACCTATCTGCTCAACATAAAACAGGATCGAGACGAGAGTCTAAGGAGTTACCTCACTCGTTTTAACGAGAAGGTCCTCCAAATCGAGGAGCCCAATGACAAAGTCACAATGACCACTTTTCTAAGAAGTCTCCACTCATCTAGATTCTTTTTTTCAATAATGAAGCGATCACTAAAGAGCATGCCAGAATTATTGGCAAAAGCTTAAAAATATATAAATGTTGCAAAAATCAACAAGTCTAAGCGAGATGAATCATCTCCCAGATCTCCAAAAGCTTGACCTGCCTCTGCACTGTTCTCGAACAGGCAGCCTCAGTATCCAGCTTAGCGAATCTCTTACGGGTCGCCAAAAGCTTGGCCTGCCTCTGCATTGTTCTCAACACAGGCAGCATCAATATCCAGCTTAGCGACTCTCTTACGGGGCGCTAAAAGCTTGGCCTCTGCATTGTTCTTACACAGACAACCTATATCTCCAATTGAAGACCCTTTCATGGGTCGCCAAAAGCTAGGTCTCAAATTGTGTAGCTCTCTCACGAGCAGTTCTCCAACTTTGTCTGTAATCTTGCGCAAGCAGCGTACCTCTCCCTACAAGTAATTATGTGAGATATTTTAATATTTTGAATAACATTGTTTTTGTCATCACAACCAGGCTCACCCAAGGCGACCAAGCAGAGGTGTCTGACGCTCTATGCTGCCCCAAACAAGGCAGTCCAACACCTGGAAAGGTGTCTGATCTTATGTGCTCATCCAAATTAGGCAACCTAGCACCTAGAGGGGTGTTTGATCCTATGTGCTCTCCCAAACGAGGCAGCCCAGCACCTGGAGAGATGTCTGATCCTATGTGCTCCCCAAACGAGGCAGCTTAGCACCTGGAGGGGTTCTTGATCCTATGTGCTCGCCCAAAAGAGACAGCCCAGCACCTAGAGGGGTGTCTGGCGTTCTATGCTCACCCAAACAAGGCAGTCCAGCACTTGGAGAGGTGCCTGACCACCTTTGCTCGCCCAAACGGGACAGTCCAACACCTGAAGAGGTGTCTGATCCTATGTGCTCGCCCAAACGAGGAAGCCTAGCACCTGGAGGGGTGCCTGACACTCTATGCTCGCCCAAACGAGGCAACCTAGCACTTAGAGAGGTGTCTGACCACCTTTGCTTGCCCAACGCTGCCTGGCCCTCCAAAATTACACAAAACAGCTCCAAAGGTGCCCAGATCAACGCCTGAAGTGGCACCCAGATTTGCCCCTGTGCCTAGGCAGCCCCGACTGCACCTCCATCTCCTAATGCCTAGTCATCCCAGGCTGCACCTCCAGGCCCTGATGCCCAGGCATTCCAGGTTGCACCTCCTACTCCTGATGCCCAGACATCCCAAGCTGCACCTCCAGCTCCTGATACCTAGGCATCCCAGGCTGCACCTCCAGCTCCTGATGCCCAGGCATTCTAGGCTACACCTCCATCTCCTGATGCACAGACATCCTAGGCTGCACCTTCAGCTCCTGATGCCCAGACATCCCAGGCTGCACCTTCAGCTCCTGATGCCCAGGCATCCCAAGCTGCACCTCCATCACCTGATGCCCAGGCATCCCAGGCTGCATGTCCAATTCCTGATGCTTAGGCTCGCGCCCAAGTAACCCCTGTAGGCGCCCAGGCTGCACCTCCAGTTCTTGCGCCCAAGCTACCCAGCCTGCCTCTTTGCGCGCCCAAGTTGTCTTGCCTCCTTGCCTTAGTGCCCAAGTTGTCCGGCCTCTTTGCCTGCGCGCCTAGGCTGCCTAGCTCGCCTATCTGCAAGCCCAAGCTGTCCAGGACAGCACCTCCAGCACCCAAATGGTCCAGACCAACCTCTAAACTTCCCAAACTAATGCCTAAAGTGGTGCCCTGTTCAATGCCTGCCTCCATGGAACCCATCACTACAGTGCCCGATGGACTAGTGCGCCCAGCTGCCCCACGTGCAACACGGCGCCCAAAGGCGGTAGCTCCACTGCCTGAGGCCTTGAATCACCAACAAGAACTATGGGTTCCCTTATTTTTGGCATCCCAAGCTCGGACAGCCCATTGGGTGCATGAATAACGGTGGCAATGGGTGCCCGAGACACTTCCATGCCGCTACTTACCTCCTCTTCAACAGCAATGTTGGTTTTTCTCTTCATTAATGCTCTAACGCAAAAGTCTCAAGCTTTGGGTCTCCAAGGATTTAAAAAAAAAACACTCATGAATAAGTTGGAAAGAGTGGGTAGAATGAAGAAAAATGATATATTTATAGCCTAGGGTTTTTCAAGAGGGAAAAACCCAAATTAAAATTATGGGCTCTCTTAAAAATCCTAGAAAAAGAAAAAGTGGGAAAGATTTGAGATGTGCACCAAAGCAAAAATACATCATGCAGAGAAAGAGTCATCTAGCAGAGGAAGTCTCCACCGTATGAAATTCAAGATGTAAGTTAATGCACCCTTCTCTAAGTCTCCTTGGACACGGGGCATTGGGGGGCAAATGATGGGTCAAGCCCAAATAGCCCAATTTATGTGAGAAGTCCAATCCCAATTGAGGAGCCCAACCTCATGAAAGATCCACCAAGCCCAACATAGTTCAAGACCAGTCAAACTCTTTGCTTAGCTATGTCATCAAGAGGGAGAGTATGGAAGCCCTACTTGCACCACAGAGGAAAAAGTCCACCCTCACCTCATCTTTGACCGCATCTCAAGGATAGCTCCTCAACCTCCTCGCCCATTGAGAAGAAGTCGTGAGCTCCACCAAAGTAGTTGCTTAGTTGCTTAGTTGCTGTAAAGTAGCCCAATATGTTAGAGGACCACTATAAATTGCGCGTCCCACCAACACTTGGGGGGCATCGCACTTTATTTGACCACGACTCTCTCTTCCCCCTCAAAGCTTGTACTCTCTGTTCCCCACACCCTTGAGTTAATAAAATACCCGGCATCAGAGCCATTGAAGAATGGACGTAAGTTGAGCTAATCGAACCACTATAAATTGTCTTTGTCTCTCCATCTCTTGATATTAATTTCTTGCATTTATTTTTACACTTAACAGGTGGTATGCAAAGCCATTTTGTGAAAAGCCCAAATTAAAAATTATGGGCTCTCTTAAAAATCCTAGAAAAAGAAAAAGTATGAAAGATTTGAGATGTGCACCAAAACAAAAATACATCATGCAGAGAAAGAGTCATCTAGTAGAGGAAGTCTCCACCACATGAAACTCAAGATGTAAGTTAATGCACCCTTCTCCAAGTCTCCTTGGACACGGGGCATTGTGGGACAAATGACGGGTCAAGCCCAAATAGCCCAATTTATGTGAGAAGTCCAATCTCAATTGAGGAGTCCAACCTCATGAAAGATCCACCAAGCCCAACATAGTCTAAGACCAGTCAAATTCTCTACTTGGCTACGTCAGGAGAACATGGGAGCCCTACCTGCATCGCAGAGGAAAATGTCCACCCTCACCTCATCTTTGACCGCATCTCAAGGATAGCTCTTCAACCTCCTCGCCCGTTGAGAAGAAATCGTGTGCTCCACCAGAGTAGTCGCTTAGATGCTATAAAGCAGCCCCAATCTGTTAAGGGACCACTATAAATTGTGCGCCTCACCAACACTTGGGGGGCATCGCACTTTACTTGACCACGACTTTCTCTTCTCTGTCAAAGCTTGTACTCTCTGCTCCCCACACCCTTGAACTAATAAAAGCACCCGGCGACCAAAGCCATTCAAGAGGGATGTAGGTCACATTGATCGAAGCACTATAAATCTTGTCTCCTCCAATTCTCTCTTTACTTTTACTGTATTTATTATTTACACTTAATAGGTGATGTGCAAAGTCATTTTGTGCATCATCAATAAGTAGTATGTACTTCAGGAGACCTGGCCCATTCAAATCAAGTGTTTCAGGCTTCCAAAAAGAAAATTATTTATCCAAATTGAAAGGTCTTCCTATACAAATTCTAGATCAATACGAAAGGCGGGCTTGAATTTTGGGGCAAGAAAATGGTTACCGCTATTTCTGTATGTCTGAGAAAGTGGTTAAGTCACACAATAATTGCCAGTAGATTTATGTTGCCATGTGGTTGTTTAGGGATGTGATCTGTGGTAATGTAAGAGTTGGTTGTTTCACGTATCACATTTATCAGTTGTGTGCATTGGTGACGGGACTTTCATCGTTTTGCATGTAATCTTGTTATTTCTATATAAACAAATGGGGTCACTTCACTTGGAATATATCTAGCAGTAAAATTGCGAATATATGCTTTGGTTGTTTCATCTGAACTGTTTAGTTATCTTAAGTTCTGTCATAGTAAATATTTATGAGTTTATGTTGTTGGTTATTTGGCATTTTTCATCTGAATCTTCCCTTTTGCCTCTTCTTCCTTCATCTTTTTCCTTCTGATGTAGACGCATTATGTTCTATTGCTGTCTTCCTTTAAAGAACAATTGCAACAACATGTCCGTGTTCATGCAATGGAATCAGTCATGGCTTGTTGGGAACTTGAGCAATCTCTGCAAAGCTTAACAGGTAATCACATGTGCTTTATGATTTTTCTGCATGCAATTATGTCTTCTTGGATACTCATGATGGGAAGGACTACTTATCATGCTTTACATCACTCTTACTCTACAGTCTTCGTACCTTGGCACATTAAAGAAGTCACTTGGTTTAGCATGTAAGAATAATCACATAATTTTCATGACATTACCTTTGGCTTTGCAAGGGTAAGTACACAATTTTTCCGGTTTTCAAACAACTCTCTCTCTCTCTCTCACACACACACAGCTCTTTCTCCTACTTTTATGATTAAAATTCAAATGAAATGGATGTTGTTTTTCCATGTGCAACTTGTGTCATGGCAGCTGTTGGATATGCTTACTTATTTCTCCTATTCTTTTCTTCCCTGCTGCTGTTGTTTTTGCTACTGGGCGTCCTAATAACTCAATTGTTGAATTTAGTCAGCTGATCAACATATGGATATACTTTTCATCCTTCTTGATGGGTAAATCATTTTATTTTTGATGTTATAGTTAAAAGATCTTGTGCTTTCTCTGAAGATCAATGTTGATATAGGAACTGGAGCTTGAAAGTTAGAATTGTTGTTTGTGCTGGATTACTAGTTCCAACGATCAAATAGTGAGATGTTTCGGTGTCAGTTAGTTCTCATGGGATGATGAGTAAAATTAGTCTAATATAATGAGTTTTAAGTTGATTCTATGTACAGAGAAACAGTCCCCTGAATTTGGTTTTCTACATGATGATGATTTTGAGTTTATGTTCATTGGTGTGATACATAAAACATGTTCAAAATATCAATTTGTAATTGGAGTGTGCTCTATACCAGGTGTGTCAGAGTGGAGCAGTATTAGGTTCAAAACTACTTATGTGGTTCTTTGGTTATGGTTGTGTTAAGCTTGAGAGAGCATAGTCCTAAAAGAAACCATTCTGTTTAAATACAAGTTGTACCTCACTTCTGTGGCACTCTCTTGGGCAGACCAACAGAGGATGCATTCAGTGCCCAAGTGTGCAGCAAATAGCTGTATAAGGAAGTAACCATGATACTGGGCATAAATCATTTTTGAACTCTTGTGTTGGAAATCCTCAGTTTTTTTCTATTATTTCACTTGGGAATACTGTCATAGATTGTTATTAACTTCTATTATTATTTTGTTCTTTTGCATACTGGGCAGATTCTCCTGACTGTGTTTCTGGAGTGACAAACAGTTTGAATGCCTGATTGTTGTTCCAAGCAGTGCCTGCTTTTAAGGGAGTCCCATATTTGGACGTCTTCATGCCAATTGGAAACAAGATGATCTTGCAATAAAACTCAATTGCAATTATCTTCTTTCACTTGTCTGAAAATAAGTGACCTGCTTCAAAAGTTATTAAGTTCTTATTTTCTCTAGAAGGAGTATATCCTGCATTTATCAATTTTCCTCCTTCACCAATTTCCCAGTTATCTTGTGTTCATGAAGATGCATTTATTATGTTGCGCGATGCGCTTATATATGATAATTGCTCTTAGGTCTTGTTTCACAAGGAAACTAACGTTTTTACTTGAAGGCGGTTGTATTTGTTCTAAATTTTGTTTTTGTCTCTGGAACTTATTTTGTGTTGAGACCAAATAAGTTTCTCTATACATGAGTGAGTGAGGTGTAATATGGCTTTATTTCTTTTGCTCGTTTCTAATGAACCATTGAACTGTTTGCATATTTTCAAGTCCTTGTGTTCAGGTTTGCAGTTACTTCTTGTTTTGTTTGCTTTCTATGGATTAAAAACTTTTGCTCTGCTACGTGCATCTGAAGGTCCTGACGGTCATGAAAGCTGCTTTATGTCTTGGACTTCCCTTCTAGTCTGGCTGACCACTGTAACCCATTTAGTAGATGGTCTCATATTGACGTCCTCCACTCAATCTCTTCTTTTTTTTTTTACTTCTGAATCTACTTCAGATTCATGACGAGTTTGAAACTAATGTCATGCATGGACAGGCGTGGCACCTGGTGAAGGCACAGGTGCAACAATGTCTGATGATGAAGATGACCAGGCAGATAGTGACACCAATTTATTTGATGGAAGTCTGGATGGGCCAGACAGCATGGGATTTGGTCCTCTTGTCCCAACTGAAACTGAGAGGTCCCTGATGGATCGAGTGCGGCTAGAGTTGAAGCATGAGCTGAAACAGGTAAGTAAGAATGTAGTTGCTTTATGTTTATGTTGCTTTAGGTTAATATTTTCACTTTAGCTAATTGGTTTTCTGCTTTATAGGGTTACAAGGAGAAGCTTGTGGACGTTAGGGAGGAAATCTTACGCAAGCGAAGAGCAGGAAAATTGCCGGGTGACACCACCTCCCTTTTAAAAGCTTGGTGGCAATCACATTCCAAGTGGCCTTATCCAACTGTAAGTGTTACGTTCTCTTCTATTTCTCTCAATTTCTAGTTGTTTTGTGTTTTCGATTTTTGAACTCATTTTACTTCAATACTATTATTCAGGAGGTAGACAAAGCAAGGTTGGTGCAGGAAACAGGATTGCAATTGAAGCAGATTAATAATTGGTTCATCAACCAAAGGAAAAGGAATTGGCACAGTGACCCTTCATCTTCTACAGTTCAGAAGAGCAAACGCAAGAAGTAGGCTAGTCGACACTTTTGTTTCTTGAAATATATATAGTATTCTCTTGGAAGCTCTTTGCCAACTTTTACTTGGGAAAAAAGCAATGCAGGGTGCAACAAGTAATGAGCACTTCCATGCACAACGGAGAAATCTTAAACCCAAGAAACCGGTTAGTGTCTCTCTCTTTTTGCGTCTAAAACTTGGACAAGTTCAGCACTAGAATACATACTAAAGCAAGCGTACCAATAGAGGATTGGCTGACAAACAATTGCTGAAGTTGTCTGGAGATGTTTTGTATAAGCTCTGCCGAAAACTATCATCATATAGATGAAGCTGTTGTTTCCTACCGTGCTAGTGTTTGACCCCTACACGAATCAAAGTCGGTCGATTACTTGGTGCTTCAACTCACACCGATGCATATGAGATCTGTAGCACCATTTCATTATAGAGGTTGAATGTTAGACCATGTGAAAAAGGATCAAGGTCCGTTCGAATAATTTTGCTTTTCCTTTTGTACCATATGCTGATAAACTTCTAATTTGTTCCCTCTGCTTTTATTTTTCGAACGAAAATGGCTATGGGATCTGGGTGTATAATGTAATGTCTATTATTTTTTTGTGATTTTTGGAGCTGTTGCCCTTGTAAATTGACCAGAAATGTGTTTAAGAGGACATGCTGCATGACTTTATGCATAACCAAATACACATATAGAGAGGCAAGAAAGAAATAGGGTTAATTATGGAACTATGATCTCTGTTTTTGATTGCTAGTGATAAGTTGGAACACTTGTCCCCTCTTTTGTATGATGTTCTGACCACATTTAACCAATTGTATTATAATAATTTTTGTTTGTATATATGATTGGAAATTGTTTACATTTAGTACAATATTTGGTTCTGTGGATGATGCACAAATTCAGTAAAGTTGGCTCCGATTTACCCTTGATTAAGATTTTTTAATTTAACGGTCAAGGGTGTCTGGAATAGTTTATGCACATCTCGACTAATCATTTTTTCGGTCTGATCAAAGACAAACTATCTACGCTGAGATTAGGATATTCATAAGAGATAAATTATTTGTAACTTAACTCTAAAGAATTGTCAAGATTCAAACTCAGATTAGACCAATTAATTGGCAGCCTCACAAGTGTCTTTGGCACCCTGTTCGCCATCGGAGATGAACTCTTTATAATTGTGAGGGTCACCAGTTCCATAGAAAAAAAGTCACTCAGCACATACTTTTTAAAAAATAATCATCGGGCATACAATGAGTTAAAATGTTATTTCCCATAGCTAAACATTCCATTAAATAATACTACACCTCAATTCAAATCATCAAAGTATTAGTTCCAACATTTTTTACATCGGCTATATGAATTTTATTTTGCTATATATTGTGCTCTATTAAAAGATATAATTGTTCTATTAGACTAAATATTATTGTATCTTCTTTACTGTTTTATTTAAATTTAATTTTTATATTATGTTATTCCTTCAATTATTTTTTTTTTTTTTGGTTTAACGGTTAAAGTGTCTGTGTCAGCTTACACGCATCTTGACTAATTCTTTTTTTGGTCCAATTAAAAATAGGTTTTTAATCTCGAAACTAGGGTATTTATGAGGGATAAATTCCTCATGGTCTAACCCTAAAGAATTGTCAAGATTTGAACTGTCTCTGTAATAGAGATCGTATAGGAATTGGATAGATATTATAGATTATTTATGAAAGTTATTTAGATACTTTTAATATTTATCTTTTAAATAATTTTTTTTAACTTTTGAAGGTTTATTTGTCATTATTTATTTGTTTTAGGGTTTTAATTTTCATACATAAAAGGATTAGTTATTGTCGGTGCCTGAAGGCACAAAGTAATCAAATTAGTAAACAATAAATATATTTATATTTATATCTAAAATCAAATTACAAACATAAAGAATATATAAAGAAATTTAAGCTTTGTAGTGGAGGTGAGAGGTGGTGAGTGACAGTGGTAGTGGTAGGAGACGATGACGGTTGTGGTGGGTGGTAATGACCGTGATGGCGGCGATGGTTGTGGCGACAGTGGTGGTGGTGGTGGAGGAGGCGACGACGATGGTGTTGGAGGTGGTGGTGGTTGTAGTGGCGGCGACGGTGGCAGTGGTGGTGGTGGTGGTGGAGGTAGTGATGGATTGGTTTCAAACACTATTTTTTTTAAAAAGTATTTATGAGAAATAATTTCTAGAAATACTTTTAAAAAATCACTCCAAATACACCCTTGGGTGGCAATGACTGTGGTGGCGGAGATGGTGGTAGTGGTGGTGGCGACGGCGGCAGCGGTGGAGGCCACAGTGATGGTGGCAGTGGTGATAATGGTGGTGGTGGAGGTAGTGGTGGCAGCGACGGTGATAGTGGGGGCGGGGGTGGCAGCGGGAGTGACGGTGGCGGCAGTGATGGTGATAGAGGTAGTGGTGGAACGATTTCAAACACTATTTTTAAAAAAAATATATTTATGAAAAATAATTTTTAAAAGTACTTTTAAAATGTTACTCCAAACACACTCTTAGGGGTCTATTTTTCCTATTAAATTTAGGGTGTTAATATTAGTCGTTATATTGACTTTAAAGTAAAATTTAAAGTGATCTCAACCGCGAATAGCAAAAATAATTTTGTTTATCTTTTGAGATTTAAATTGTAAGCTACTTTATTATATACTAGTTATTGTCTGTGTCTGAAGGCACAGAGTAATAAAAAATTGTAAACAATAAATATATTTGTATTTATATCTAAAATCAAATCACAAACATAGAAAAAAGATAAAATAATTTAAGCATAAGTTTGTAGTGAGGGTGAGAGGTGGTGGGCGACAATGATGGTGGTGGTAGGAGACGGTGATGGTTGTGGAATATGACAAAGACTTTGGTAGTGGGGGTGGGGGTGGCAGCGACGACAGTGGTGGTGGTGGTGGCGGGGGTAACCGTGGGGGTGGCGGTTGTGGCGACGATGGTAGTGGTGGTGGTGGCGGTGGCGGTGATGTGGTAGAGGCTATAAAGCACGGATACTTCGTCAAGGTCGACATACCCGTATCTGATACCGTATCGGATACGATACTCGTCGGATACTCGATGATACGTATCGGATACGCATCATCTGTATCCTATAATTAATAAAATATGTGGATATTTCGTGGATACTTCTAAACATGGTGTAAGATGTACAATTTTCAATTTTAAGCTATAACCCTTCTTTGGAGTTCACATACAATATAAAACATCAACAAAATTCTATCTGATTTTAAAAATACGAGTGTTTTTTAAGTATTATCTACTATTATATGTTAAGAGGGTATAAAAAAAATGAATCACTTACACTATACTTTTAAAAATAAATACTTGTAAAACCAACTAGTTAAATGTTATTATAATTTCTTTAATTTGTCATGCTCATTTTATGAACAGATCATAATGAGATGATATTATAACCTTTTCATGGTAAAATTTTTTAATTTTACTTACTAATGTTAAAGAATTATTGAAAAATTGTAATTTCTAAGTCGTTAAATAATAATAAAATATAAAATATATTTTATTATAGACGTATCCTGACTGTACCCGTATCTTATTTTTTTAAGTTTTGTCGTATCACCGTATCCGTATCGTATCGTACCCGTGTCACGTATCCGTATCCGTATCCGTGCTTTCTAGGGTAGAGGTAGTGGTGAGACGATTTCAAACACTATTTTTAAAAAAAAATATTTATGAGAAATAATTTCTAAAAGTACTTTTAAAAAGTCACTTCAAACACACCCTTAGAATTCTATTTTTTCTATTAAATTTAGGATGTTAATATTAGCCGTTAGATTAACTTTAAAGTAAAATTTAAAGTGATCTCAACTGTAAATGGCAAAAATAATTTTGTTTATCTTTTGAGATTTGAATTATAAGCTACTTTATTATATACTAGTTATTGTCTGTGCCTGAAGGCACAGACTAATAAAAAATTATAAACAATAAATATATTTGTATTTATATTTGAAATCAAATCACAAACATAGAGAAGAGATAAAATAATTTAAGCATCAGTTTATAGTGAATGTGAGAGGTGGTGGTGGTGGTGGTAGGAGACGGTGATGGTTGTGGAAGACAACAAAGAGTGTGGTAGTGGTGGCAATGGTGGGGGTGGGGGTAGCAACGACAACAGTGGTGGTGGTGGTGGCGTGGCAGAGATGGTGGCGATGGTGGTGGGGTAGCCGTGGGGGTAGCCGTGGGGGTGGTGGTTGTGGCGACGATAGTAGTGGTGGTGGTGGCGGCGATGTGGTAGAGGTAGTGGTGAGACGGTTTCAAACACTATTTTAAAAAAAATATATTTATGAAAAATAATTTCTAAAAGTAATTTTAAAAAGTCACTTTAAACACACCCTTATGGTTCTATTTTTTCTATTAAATTTAGGGTGTTAATATTAACTGTTAGATTAACTTTAAAATAAAATTTAAAACGATCTAAATCTCGAATAACAAAAGTCATTTAGTTTATATTTTGAGATTTAAATTGTAATCTACTTTATTATATAAATATATAAAATGATACTTGTAAGTATTTTATTTAGATTAAACTTTGATTATTATTGAATATTGATATTAATTTCTTCTCAAAATTCTTTCTATATTTTCATCTATTTCTTCTTCTTTTTTCATTCCTAATTTTTCCCTTCTTAATCTACATCAATTTGATATCAGAACTAATACGATTTACGTCGCTTTGTTACTACTTAAACTACCCTTTGTTTCCTTCTATTACCACCGATAGCTAGATCAACACTATTTCTCACAGTTTCTACATCTAATTTTCATCGATAGAATCATTCTTAATTCTATCACACATTCATTGGACCATTTCATAAAATTATAAGAGAACAGAGAAAATATAAGATATGAAATAAAACAAAGTAAGTGAAATAAAAAGAATTTCAAATGTCTACACCAATTAATGGAAGAGAATATCACAATTACAAAACTGCTTGCTCATCAAGGCCATGGTCGAAGTTGAGAGCATAGCTTTTTGGATCATACTGATCACAATGAGTCCTTGCCCTCCTGGGCTTGCAGTATTTACCTATTTTTCGGATCAAGTTCTTCCATTTTGGCCCTGCTATGATCTCTGAAACCTCCCTTACCTCCTTCAATTTCTTCACCAGCCATGTTTCCTTGTGCTCTCCATCTCCATTTTGTTGCAACAGACTCCTAGTTTCTCCATCACGCTTTCGTCCCCATTGGAAGCAGAGCCTAAAACAGCCACACCCGGTAGGCGAAACAGCTTCGCTTTTGACATCAATGTAAATGGCTTCTTTTTCTTCTTTTTCCTTTATTGCTGAAGTATTGCTCAAGAAGGCTTGTTTTTCTTGGACTTTAGCCATATGAAGGTTTGTTGTGTGTGTGTGTGTGAGAGAGAGAGAGAGAGCGAGCGAGAAAGAGAGCTCTTTAATGATGAACAGAGGAGATGGATAAAGGGTATATATGTGTGTGTGTGTGTGTGGAGAAGAGAATGTGAAAGAAATATGTTGAAGAAGAAGAGAGTGGAGGAAGTATCATAGCAACAGCTAATGACTTGCAAGGGGTTTCATGAAAACAATTCATTTAATGTAACCACCAGTGAGAAATTTGTTGATGAAGGCCCAATGTGATTTTAAAGGCAATTTTAAATAGCAGTTATTTTTGTTGGTTTATTGCTGACATGTTATTATGTGATTGGATGGTCTTGATTGTTCTGTAGGTTGGCTGTAACTTGACTTGTGATTGTTCAAATTTGGGTAGGAATCGAACACTTTCTTGCCGGCTGTTTGGTTACGCGGTGCCTTTCAACCCAAGAATAACGGACGCTGCTGCAGCGCGAGTGGAACGCGTAGTGGAAAGTTTTATACATATCCAAGGGAAACAAACCAAGAACTTTCTTCTAAGAATTAGTGTGGGCCTACATAGATGGGTAGGACTTGAGTTCGCTCGAATTTGACTCGTTTAGGATTGATTTGTTTTTTAAACGAGTTTGAATTTAAATAAATTTTTAGACTCGTTTAAGAAACAAGCCCTACAACCTCGATTCAAACTCGACAAACTCAGCTCGTTTATGGGCAAATACTCAGGTTCGACTCAGGCTTGGCTTGAGTTCGACTCCTTTCTTAAACGAGTTGAACTTGAACAATTTTTAAAACTCGTTTGACTAACAGCCCTATACATGGGCTAATAACTTGAATTTTCTCATGCTCCATGGTTAAGTTCAAATCTTCGCAACTTCAGTAATTTGATAAATTTAAATTTATTTTTCAGTGCTTAGAGCATACGATATTAATTTCAACCCCAACATAAGTGCTGAGATATCTTACAGGTAATTGTATGGTGCTTAAGGGTAATGCTTCCCGACAGATATGTGAATTGATTTATCTACATATTCATTTGATATACCAAGAAAAAAAAGATTAATTTTTTTTTTACCTCTTGTGGTTTGGACTAGAAATAACTTCCTTATTTAACGTTTAAAATTATGCACATAAACTTTTTGTAGTTATGTACCAAAGTAAAATAGTTATTTTTATCATCTAAGTTAATAAAGAGTGCACTTCACACGCCCAAAATATGTTGTGGGCTTTGTTTCCATTATATCCTTCTAAAATAATATGGTCAAAATACCTAAAATACCCTTTATAGTATATGGTATAAATGTATAATATCTAAATAGGTAGAACATCGGTCCCAAATCAAATAAAATGTAAGAAAAACATAAATGATTTTTAGTCCCGAATCAAAACTTTACTCTGGGAAAAAAGAGATTCAACATGTTTGATTGAAATGTGTTAGTTTGTTATCATGTCTATTATGATAATCTTTTAATTCTGTTAACGGTATCAATTATTTTATTTTGGTACATAACAATAAAGAAATAATGTGCATAATTTCAAATGTAATATAAGTAAAATACATCTAACCACAACAACAGGAGGGTAAAAAACAATTAAAAAAAATAAATACAAAAAGATATCAGTCATAAACATCTCTAATAACTCAACTGAAGTAGATTCGTGGTTTAAGAGGGGTAGAACAATATTGAATTGGAAGGTGTAGCATCCAACTCAACTGCATTGTATCGACATCTCGGATAACTCAAACTAACTCCGAAATGAGTTAGACAAGAAGACGATTGAGTTGTGCGAGGCTTGTAATTTGTACAGGTGGAACGATATCAGATCGTAAAGTGCCAAGTCAAACAAGTATCCGGTCATTCCTTTGAACCATGGAATGATGCCAACAATCAAAATCTTTTGCGAGACTTTAACTTACCTCCAGATCACCAAATTCCAGCTCTGTAACACCAGAATTGCTATGGAAAACCTTACGGTATACAAAAAAAAAAAAAAAAAAATTGGTCTCCATATTGTCAATTACTACTTGGTTAAATAAAATTACAATTTTAAAAGAAATTACAATTGTTCAAGAAAGATCATGATCAATCACATACACCCATGATTGATCATGAAAAACACAATATCGATCCTAACATTTTGTGCTCGTCTATGCTTTTTAAAATGTTAACTTACACCTAAAAAAAATTATCACTTTTAACTTTAAAAAAATTGTAACTTTCGGTACAGGCAGTAAAAGTTTCCCCAAAAAATAGGGAAAAGGATGAATAACATGCAAAGGTCAATCAAACAAATTGACTAATTACTTAAGTAACCGAGTTTTCAATTGGAAAACCAGTTTCTGTTACACACGAGCAAAAACGTGCAAGTGGAGAGCATTTGTAAAATTAATTTTTAACTAGGGGCTCCATTGAGTTGATGCTGGGTTTGTCCTTTTGGGGAACCTTTGACTGCCATAGACCGTAATTGGTTTGCAATTTCAGTGAAGCTTGGCCTGTAAGACGGCTCCGACGACCAACACTTCTCCATGAGTGATCTCCATTCTGGGTCACAGGATTCTGGCACAGGCGGACGCAATGTGTTGCTCACAATACCACCTACAATTGCATATGACAAACATATAATCAACAGCTCAATATGTTGAATTGAATACTACGTTGTAAATAAAGTACGAGTGACGAGCATGTTTGAAACATACCAATGATAGCCCCATAATGCAAGTCTGCGTATGGTTCTTCTCCAGTAATAAGTTCCCACATTACAATGCCGAATGAAAAAACATCAACCTTAAAATATCAAATATTTTAACTCCATGTTAACACACATCGTGATTAATCATTTGGGGCGGTTGATTGTGATAGTGTGGAGACTTGGAAAGGAAAAAATTATTAAAATAACAAACCTTTTCAGAAACAAGGCTACTGCTGCCATTCAGAAGTTCTGGTGCCATCCAAGGAAGAGTTCCCCGCACACCACCAGAGATTAATGTCTGACACTTCACCTTGGAAAGCCCCAAATCACCAACCTGAAAGAAAAGTGAGAGCCTATCAACTTAATAATAAAACTAATGCAACTGTAGTTGGAGACCAGCAACAATTCAAAGGATCTCTTTTTGTGAAAAAAAAGCAAAGTAGATATGACCCCCTCCAAGCAACATTGAAAATAAATAATTTGAGAATGAACAATTAAATGACCACTACTCGACCAAAGTAAGCCAATAGTATCATAAGTTCAAGTCGTCTTCTCACATTGGTTGGTTCAATACAATTCTGATTCAATGTTACTAGCTGAACTTATAAATTAACCAAGTCAAAAAGTAAGTAAAAAATCAATTGCAGTCAAGAAGTAATTAAAAAACACTTGATTACAGCAAACATTGCAAACATAGTGATAATCATAGACGTAAAAACATAAAATGAAATAAATGATCCACAGAATATAGGTAACATTTTACTTCTATCGTGCACATTCTATGACAACTACACACATCCACAATTCCTTTGAGATATGATAGCATGCCCTAAAGGCAATTGGGAGTGTTTGATTCTTCCACAATTGGATGACCACCAGAATTTCATAAATGTGGGAAGGAAATGTACAAAGAGAACCAAAATGTGTATGAAATACCAGATTGGAAACATGGTGCGTTACCTATTATAAGTTCCATCAGAGTCATGTAACATCTCTAATGCTCATCACATGCAACACCATACAAAGACAATAGCTAACACTTACTATGGTAAATTTCACAAAATCCTCCATCTAATAATGTCTCCACCCCTTTGTCCTATGAAGCAGATATCAAGGGAGCTAATACATTTTTGTCAAATACAGAATTGCCAATATTGAGAGCCAAGAAGCATCCAAGAGACAGTTGTGGTGTTATCCTACCTACCTCAAGACTATTATTACACAACATCTATAATAGGAGCACGTCCACCATAAAAAATGCATAAAAGAAACATTAGGCCCAATCACTAACCTTGCATATTGGACGGTGTGGATCACGTAGATTGACAAGCAAGTTGTCACTTTTCAAATCAAAGTGCACTATATTCTTTCCGTGCAAGTACTCCATCCCAAACGCCACATCCATGGCAATCAGGAGACGCTTACGCCTATCAAGGTTTCTGATAAAAAGTGATTCATGAAGTTTTCTCAAAGTTTATGAAAGATGCTAATAATCTATCAAGGATTTAAAAGAACCAAAAAGTAGAATACTACCTCTCATTCTTTTGCAAAGCATTTCTTAGAGAACCATTAACCATATATTCTGTGACTGTTGCCACAGAACCACCAGGACTATCAAGTACAACACCATAGAAAGCCACCACATTTGGATGGTGCAAATCAGCAAGCTTAATTGCCTCATTCCAGAAGTCATCCCTCTAATTAAATAAGAAAACCAACATAAGCAACCAATAATGGAACTATAACAGAGCCAGTCAAATGCAATGAAAAGACACAGACCATGCGTTCTTCTTCCGAAGGTTTCCCAACAAAGCACCTATTGTTGATCCGTTTGATTGCAACATCAGAACCCCTCCACTTGCCATGGTATACAGTACCAAAGGTACCAGAACCCAATTCCTGAAGCTCTTCAAGATCACTATTCTTAATAATCTGCCCACAACAAAAGGGAGAGGCAGAGGAGGAGAAAGAGATTTCTTAAATTATCACGTCAATCAAGAAACATCCCAATTAAAAGACATGAGAATCAATGAAATCAAATCTTCAACCTGTAAGCGACCAATGCCATCTGATACGGGAAAACCAAGATTTGCCTTTTCAGGCAATTTGGTCTTGATGTCCTAAATAAGAAAATAATTGAGACAATAAACCTAAAAAATGCAATACCGGATTGATAATAATTAACAGACACAACAACTACAGAAAGGAGAGCACAGAGAGAGAGTAATTTTAGAGGGGTAGGGAATAAGTTTTTTGAGAACCTCAAATTCATCTGTATGTTGTTTTTCCCCATCACTATGGTGAAGTTCACTGTTTCGATTGCTTTTAGGGGACTCATTCATCCCGAGAATTGTCAAGTCAGGATTAGAAGGCATGGATGGTTGAAGAACAGAAGCAGCTACACCCTCAGCAACAGCCTGAAGTTCTTGCTTGATTACTTCCTCCGCTGAGCCTGTAAGTGAAGCAGAAAAAAGTTTATAAACACCAAGTGTAAGGAACTCAGCAACAATGATTTTTTTTTTTTGATAAATTGGAAAGTAGCAACAATGATAAGCAAGAAAAATGAAACACATCCATAGCATTCCTTACCTTTGTTGGACCGGTAAAGTTCTGCACCAGTAATCATTTCCAAATGGCCAGATGGTAGGTAAACTTCATCCTCCGTAGTCAATCCCCCACCATTGCCTGAAGGTGATTCACCACTGTTGCTAAAACGATCATCACCAAGAGGATCCCGGTTACCCAAACCTTCCTTTCTAATTGTAAGTTTGTTTGGTCTAGGTGGAGGAAAATGAGTATCATGCTGCAGCATCCATGGATCCTGGTTGCTGAAAAGTGAGTTTGAGCTATCCTGTAAATCTCCAACTCTGTTAGATGGAGATATAGAAGATGGTGTATATCCATCTGACAGAACAGATTCCACATTACTAGGGACAATCTTTGGCTGAAATTGTGAAGGGTTATCCTTCCATTCCCCAATAGGCTGAATTCTTTCAGTCAAGTGGCCTGAGTCAACACCAGAAAATGCAGGGTTGCCAAAAGAGAGCTCATCAGAGGCTATATGAGTAATTCCACGCATTGGGTGTTGATAAAAATCAGGATTACCTAAACGAGGTGGTTGACACACTTCACAGGACTCCACTGGTCGAAAATTATGGAAGCAAGTAGTCTCATTAGAGGAAGGAAGCATGTCATTTGGTTTGATGAAATTTGGGTCCAATGCCATATTCGTTTTGCTAAAGGTACTATCCAGGTATGCCTCCCTCCCAGTAATCTGCTGTGGTCTGCTTTCCAAAATGCCATCCTTTTTGGGATTATCCATTGGTGATTTACTCCGCTCATTGACAACCAAAGCTTCAGGAGGGCCAATCCATAGATTACCCATCCCCCCATCAATTTGTCTGAAATGGTCATACGTAATGCCAGCATCTACAATATCTTCTTTAGGAACAATACCAAGAAGTTTGCCAGAATTATCTTTTGGAGATTCATGAACCACAAGATCTGAAGTTTGGAAAGGCATCCCTCCAACAGGAGGAATATCATCATTACCTGGTCTGTTCATCAAGACATCCTGTTTGACCTGGTTTTGAGTTGGCACCACGAACTGCTGGACAGCATTTTCTTGGCATGATTGAGGAAGTATTGGCGTGTATACACCATACGGAGACTGCATGTCACCTGTCAACCCTAACTCTAGTTGCGGAACTAATATGTTCGCATGATCAGGATTGTTTGCTTTTTGGAGAATACATCTGTCATTTTCATACTGGCCCTCGACATTCTGTGAGATCCCAACTCCCTCTGCTTGACGTTTTCCTGCTTCATGATCTATATGGCCTACAACTCTTGGTTGGGCCCCAGCCCCTTGTTGTTCAACAAAACCTACCCCAAAGGCTCCACTTACAACAGCCTTGTTCACTGGACGGCCTTTATCATCCAGCCGGAGACTGTGATAACTAGAGTTTGAGTCAGATATGGTGCTTGCAGGGCTTCCTCTTTGATCCTGTGCTACTGTATCTGAATGTGCATGAGGCAATGCTTTCTGACACATATGACAGTTCTCAAAAATAGGAATTGTCTCAGGAACCATTGCCGGTTGATGAGGGACCCAGCCCTCAGGGATGGACATTTGCTCTGCCTTTGGAACCTGACACCAGCCATGACCTCCCCCTAATATTGCAGGTGAGATCTGAGCTTGATATGCATTGTAGCTTTGATCAGCAGGAAGCTGTACAACCCTTTGCCCAAGTGTACTTTCTTCAGGATAACGCTCCAACTGTACTTGTTGGGGCTGCACCAATGGTGGAATCGCATTTGGTCTCATACTACCGTGAGAGGAAGGTCCCATTGTCATGTGCACTGCAGGAATAAATTGCTGAGGGGAAACACCAGTAGCAATATGCTGTTGGGTGAAAACGGGTCCAACAGGCCCCATAAGCTGTGTTGGGAACCCCATCTGGGAAGGAAGCTGCACATAATCCGAATGGTTCAAAGTTTCTGGGCGAGGATCTATATAAGCTTGCAGGTAAGGCGTAGGCTGTGGAAACCTCACTCCAGGTTGCTGCAAATGATTTTGCTGCTGCTGCTGCTGTGCGGTAACAAGAAAAGATCTCTCTAACTCATGCTCCAACTGCGTAGGTAATGCTGGTAGAGGGACAGATTTAGCAGCTGGAATACCCAATGGAGCAGCAGAAGCCACAGCATAAATTGCAGCATTTGGGTCCCCAGTCACCACTATGGATGCAATTTCTTGAGAGGTAGTAAAATTGCCTCTAGGTGATAAAACACCAGTAGATGGTGGCCCAGTAACATCTCCTTGACCATGGCTTAAGCTATCAAGAACCTCTGTCCCACTTAAATCTGTATTCTGTGTCGAAGTAGCACTTGCCATACTCTCCTTCCTTGTAATACTACTAGGAAGTACATCCATAACTCCATTCACTGCCTCAACATATCTCTGCCCACTATCATGCAAATTCTTGAACTGCAATACACCACCAGAATCAAGCTCTGAAGCTGAAAACAAAAACAGCCTTAACTTGGCTGATCCATCCGAAGACCTTTCAAACAATTTTTCATACTCATCCATCATATTTTCAAGATCATCAGAACATGAAACCGACACAAGAGCATCAAGATCTTCATCTGGAAGCTGGTACTTAATAACCATATTCTGCCCACAAATATCCACCATCTTCTGAACCAATTCACTAAATCTCACATCTCTCTTAACACTAATTATCCTAGTTTGCCCACCAACATATCTCAATGCCCCATCACTCGGTCTCGGCAGAATCTTCCCCCCAAAACTGCACAAAAACTTAACCTTCTTCCCCGACACGGAATCATCACCACCCTCATATCTAGGCTGATCAGAAGCATTAACACAAGCCCGTGTCATGAAATTTGAATCAGAATCATACTCGGTGGTTGAATAAACACCACCTACAACACCTGGTGGCAACACTCGGGGCACCCAACTGGCCCCACCTGGAGCTCCATTTCCATACCCTAGACTCACAAACCCTGTATCAGATATCGTAGCCGGGTGATAAACAGAGGGTACTGGCCTGATACTACCAATATCTTGAGGCTGGTTGGCGTAAAACCCCTCAATAGTCCTACCGGAGGTCGTTACCGGCGCAATGAGAGAATCTTCAGGCATTGTTCCGGCTATATTCAATGGGCATAAATTCTTAGGCATTGAGTTCGGATCAAAAGCCATTTAATACATATATTTCAACAACAAATTTGGGGTTTTGAGTGTATGAATTCAAATCTAGAGAGAAAAAGCTAGGGTTTTGTCTTGATTTATCACGTTTTTCACTATACTCAGCTAAAATATCCAGGTATGGAGTGCTAGAAGCTCTGAAACTGCAATAAATCCAAGGGAAACGAAGCACAAATAGAGATAAACATATGAGCTTGAAAGCAAACATCAAATTCAAAATAGATGGAAATATAGAAGGTAAAAGACAGAAAGTTTACCAGATTTGGACGATGAGAGAGAGAGAGATAAGAGGAGGAAGAGGCAGAAAGAGACACTGGTTGGAGTCGGTTCCTGACGAAATTGATAGGCACAATTTCTCTCCCAAACCTCTTCTCTCTCTCTCTCTCTCTCTGCCTCTACTATCTGTATGTGTAATTTTCTTTTGTTGTTTAGTCTCTGAGATTTTCTTGGGAAAATGACTGCGGAGGAATGGAGGAGAGAGAAAAGGTCGCTCTCTATTTGTTTCATTCAACATGGGATTTGGGCTGTGATTTGCTTTCTTATTAAGAACTTGAGAGAGATAGAGAGAGGGGGGGGGGGGGGGGGGGAGGGGGATAGGGCACGTGGACAGTTTCATGCAGTGGTATATGTGCCATAAATAAGGAAGAATTATATTTAGAGCTTTAAAATTTGTCACTTAATCATTTAAATTCTTAATATTTAAAATATTATATACAAATCTATTGAAATTTGTATACACATAACACTTGGACTCCTATTAGTACTAAATTCATTAATAAATTATATCTAGATCCCTTAAAATTTATAAATATATGACACTTAAATTCCTCAAATTTAAAACATTACACTTAGATCACTTATTAGTTATAAAACTAACAAAATCTATTAAACAACTAAATTATATCAATTAAAGATAGAAGATATTTATATCAATTTATGGTTTGACTCCTTGTTTGGTTTTTTTAGTTTTATTTCAATAGATAATATAATAGTATACTAATTATGATTTTTTAAGAAAAAAAATTAAATTTTTATTTTTGATTTTATTTCAATAAATAACATAATAGAACATAAATTTTAGTTATAAAATTTAAAATATTTAGTATTGTATCTTTGATTAGATAATTTTTAGTCTAAATATAATATTTTAAACTTGAAAAATTTAAATATTACATGTCTTTAGGGGGTCTGAGTATAATTTACTAACAGATAGACTAACAGTGGTCAAAGTATTACGCACGTACAAATTTTAGGAGATCTATGCATAATATTTCAAATGTCAAAGGTGTAAGTAATTAAGTAACAAATCTCAGGGGGTTGAATATAATTTTACAATAAATCAATATTTTTAGGTAAATTTTATTTTGTCCCTTAAAAGATACAAATTTTTTTAATTTGCACCCTAAATAATTAATTTTTGCACATTGCTCTCTAAAAGAAATAAAAACGTTACAATATAGTCCATCATCTTATTTTCGTTTAATCGTCCGTTTATTTTATGTCAAATCAACCAATCAAAAATCACAAAATAGACGAATAACAAAATGAAAATAAAATGGCGGATCACATTGAAATGTTTTATTTCTTTAAGGAGATAATGTGAGATAATTAATCGTGTTTTCGTGTCCTTTTCTACAAAAGAAAAAGAAGAGAAAAGGCTTAAAATCATGGATAAATCTCATTTTGCCTCCTAAAAAATTTAAAAATTTTTAGTTTTCCTTCGTTTGCAACATAGAAATAAGGTTGATTAGAAATTTTTTCTGTATTATTTAAAAAATTAAATTTTAATCATAGAATTTAATTCTAGTTATTAATTATTAAAATAATAAAACTAAATAATAGAATTTTTCATATGTTTAGGCTATGAGTTAAATTTTTATAACGGGTTTGGTGGTCTAATAAAATCTTAGAATTAAATTTTGTGCATCAAATCAATATAAGCTCGATAGATTGAGGGTTCAATTATATTAATTGGAGTATGGGTATAGGATTCCAATGATATTAAATTGTTTGTAGAGGTATATCTTATTTTTGTTGTTCATGAAAATTAAACCCAAAATTTGACCATTATAATAAAATAATTGTTGTAATAATTAAAAAAGTCCTACCAAAAAAATAGTTAGGAAATAATCGATCAACCAATTTTTGTTTGGTATATTTTTTTCGATTACATGTATTCGAAGTTTGTATTGTTATTAAGAATCAAGAGCAAATAGTTGAAATCATTTTTTATTACTAAAAATAGATATCATCACTCTGAAGAGGCTTGAATGGCGGTAACAGACCCGGTTCAAAAACAAATTTGTTGTAAAAAAAAAAAAAAATAATGAAAACTTCACGATACAATCGCTCTATTTCTACGAGATAAGATTTTGGGCAAACATCAAATGAAAATTACTTCAATGTTTGAGACTTAATTAATATGTGTGGTAAAAGTTAAATATAATAAATTATGAGGTTTCCCAAAGGGGATCATCATATGTAAAGTCAGTGAACCTTTCAATAAGAAAAGTTTGTCCAATATAGTTGGGAAAATCTTATTCAGTCAATCATTATTGTTTAATAAAATAAACGTATTTAATAGAACCTAGAAATGGTACGAGAACACATCAGTTCAAGAACCTTTCATTATGGGCCCTATCACATGATTTAGAATTTATGAAAAATATGTAATGAGCAGTGCATTATATGGAAACATTATTTGGCTATTTTAATGATTCATGTTCTAACTGAAATAATAGGTATATTGGTGCAAAGTCTGATGGGAAGAGGTCACATCACATGAAGATCAGATGTTCGAGCTTTCTTTGTGTTGTGGTTGGTATTCCATAGAAATAAATCTTGATCGTCGTAGGTGGGGGTTAGGTTTTTGGAAATCCCTTTAGTTCTCCCCCTCTTGCCACCATGGCTCCGCCGCACTCAAAGGCAGCCCAAGGTAAAGTGGGACCTGGACAAAATTTTAATATGTGGCCTTATTAATATTTTTGTCTATTAATATATTTTATTTTTAATTATTATGATTTTTTTATGTTTTAAATTTTTTTTTAAAAAATATTGATCAAGTTTTTATACTCAAATTTTTACAATAAATTTTTTTAATAGATAATATTGTTAATTCATTCACTCTTAGTTGATTATAAACAAAATTTTATCAATTTAAGTTTTCAACAAGTAATTTAATAATAGAGTATGTGAGTAAAGAATTATTTTAAGATAAAAAAGAATCATTCTTTACCTATAAATAATGTGCACGCATAAAGTAGAAAACTTGAATAACATAGACAAATTAAGTATAAATTATTTGAACTGAAAATTTATATTAAGACAAAAAAGAATCAATTTTATAGATTTTCACCACAAGAAATAGTTAATATAAATTTTTTATGTGAGTGAGTGAAATACAACTATGAACACACCCAAAATATTTAGAAATTTTAAATCAAAGCTCACACGAATGAGTAATTTTGAACCAAAAAAAATTAGATATTGATTTGAACTATTAAAATTTGGGCCATAAAAATTTGAATCATATCTAAAATAAAAAAAAAATAAAAATAAAAAAGACTATTATACAAAAATGGTAAATTTTATAAAGATCTCTAAAATTTTGGCTTAACCAAATAGAGAATAATTTTAGACCTAATAAAATTAGATACTAATCTGAACTAATAAAATTTGGGCCATAAAATTTTAATCATATCTAAAATAAAAAATAAAAATTAAAAAATTAAGCCTAATATACTAAAATGATAAATATTATGGGCCTCTAAGATTGAGGACCATAACCTAACAACTTAGTTGGCTATGAGTTGGGTCGGCCTTGACCACACTCCTCTGTCATCAAAGGGACCGGAACACATGACTTTCTTCCTGGATGTGCCATGAGATGGTTCTAATATGATCACTAGACGACAAACATGCGGTTAGAACTGTCAAAATTTGAAACAATACGATTAATCGATATGAATCAATAAGAATTAATCGGATTTGAGTGAGATCTTAACGAGTTTGGGTAATAAACGAGTTGACACGTCAAACACGTTTAATAAACGGGTCGTGTTCGGTTGAGAGCTGTCAAACTATTTATCACACCTTTATCTGTTTAAATTAATAATTATTTAAAAAAATTAGAAACAAGAAAGAAGTAAAGAAATCGATACCAAAAAATAAAAATAAATAAAGTAATAGTTCAAAAATAAAAGAGGGGTGATGGTGAACACTTCAAAGACAAAGGCAAACCAATGCTTTTTATTTTTGTCCCACATTGACAAATGAGGAAATATGAAAAGGGGTGAGTTGCTTATAAAAAACAATGACCTCTTGTCTTTTTTTTTAAGACTTTAATTTTGATTTTTATAAGATTTAACTCAAAATTCCTCTTTTTTAGGTAAGTACAATTGACTATAAAAAAAGTAAAGTATTAAAATTTGTTGATGTAATTTTTTAAAATTAAACGGGTTAAACGAGTCATGTTGTGTTACCTGTTTATTAAACGGGTCATGTTCGTATTGAGATGTTTTTCGCATCTGTTTATTAAACGTGTTGTGTACGAATTTACATATTTTTTATTCGTCACCCGTTTAATCCGACACATAACCGTTTAATTCGACACGTTTACCACCCCTAAATGAGGTTCTTGTCTTGTTTGTAGGTTCTTGTCTTGTTTGTTTGCCAAGTTTTCTCATAGAGGATTCCTAACAACCTTCTGATTAAGAAGTACGATCCAAAATGTGGTGTGATAAGTACAAACGAGTTGTTACCATTACAAGTAGAATCACCGGTAAGCAATTTCCCTCTGGGAAATGTTGCAGGACACATGACACTATGTTTCCACAGATGGTGAAGCAGCGTGGCTGTACTTCTCCAATTAGATATATTACGAATGGAGTCTCCGTATGTGAGAGAAACAATTTTAAACTAGTTCAAAAATGATGCAAATAGGATACCCATATACAACCAAATTATATGTTGCATTTTTTTTTTACTTAATAGTACATGGTTGTCTTTTTTTTTTTTTTTCAACGGTAAGAGATTTTTGGATCAATTTATATGCACCTCAACTAATCCCTTTTCTAAGTCTGGTCAAATACTAGTCATCCATGCTAGAACTAAGGTATTTTATGAGAGACAAATCTCTCATGACTTGACTTTAACAAATTATCAAAATTCAAAATTATAATATTTAAATTTACTATTCATTTATATTATCACTTGAACTACCTGTTAAAGTTTAGAGGACATGATTGTATGCTCTTAGAACATCTCCAACTCACTCTCTATTTCTTTTCTTTTAGTTACTTTAGCTAGTCAAACACAAAAAATTCTCTCCAACCCACTCTCTATTTCCTAGTTAACCCAAATGGCTCACCAAATGTGATGAGCCACTTGAGT